TTTTCAATCTCTCATGAGTGTACAGTGGAGTTTTCCAAAGGCTGGTAACATGATGTATGATACTGTAACTGATTAAATGCAGAAGCAAGTATTAGAATCTAGCTGTCTGCTATTAAGCCGTAAGAGATTTGCAAAAACGTATAACAATGTCACTTTTCTTACTGAAATTGTTATATTTTTGAAAATATGTTTTTTAAAAGTTGAAAACATGTTATTTATGTTACCATGTAATGGATTGTTATTTTAAATTGAATATATATTTTAAATTTTTCTCAGTTTTACTTTCTACTACAGTTAATTTAGACAGATATAGCCCATAAAACAAAAGCACTGTGGAGTTCTCATTAACCTTTTAGACTGTAAAAAAAGACTAAAATGTTGGACTAGATGATGTTTTTTCATTTTACATTTATTTTTTTGAGACAGGGTGTTTCTCTGTTGCCTAGGCTGGAGTGCAGTGGCACTAACAAGGCTCACTGGAGCCTCGACCTTCTGGGCTCAAGCAAACCTGCCTAAGCCTCTTGAGTAGCTAGGATTATAGGCGTGCACCATGATGCTTGGCTAATTTTTAAATTAAAAAAAGTTTTTTTTTGAGACACAGTTTCACTGTCACCCAGGGTGGAGTTCACTGGTACGATCTCAACTCACTGCACCCTCCACCTCCTGGGTTGACGTGATCCTCTTGCCTCAGCCTCCCAAGTAAATGGGATTACAGGCATGTGCCACTGCCCCCGGCTAATAATTGTATTTTTTGTAGAGACGGGGTTGCACCATGTTGCCCAGCTGGGTCTTGAACTCCTGAACTCAAGTGATCTGCCCGCCTTGGCCTCCCAAAGTGTTGGGATTACAGGTGTGAGCCACCACACCTGGCTAATTAAAAACAATTTTTTTTTTTGTAAAGACAGGGTCTTGCAATGTTGCCCAGGGTGGTCTTGAACTCTTGGACTCAAGATCATCTCAGCCCCCCCATCTCAGCCTCCTAAAGTGCTGGGATTACAGGTGTGAGCCACTGCACCTGGTCTACATGCCTGCCTGGCTAATTAAAAAAATGTAGAGTCAGAGTCTTGTCGTGTTGCCCAGGCTGGTGTTGGACTCCTGGACTCAAGCAATCCTCCCATCTCAGCCTCCCACAGTGCTGGGATTACAGGTATGCCACCATGCCTGGCCACTCCTTATTTTAAAATGTGATGACTCCACTGTGTCTGAAAGCTAGGTATAGAATTTTCGATCAACTATTTACTTGTAACAATGAAAGTGGTCTGAATGTGTTAGCTATAGTGTCTAAAGCAGATATAACCTAAAATTTTAACCATTTAAAATCAGAGGAAAACTAGATTATAACTTTTCTCTCGAAAGGAACCACGTCATTTAATGTATTTGTTCTCTGAGGGCAACAATGTATGGCTATAAGAATCCCTTTATTAGAGCTAATAAAAAATATAATTACCTTTTGCCAAATAGTGAGACTTTTCTTTCAGATGTTGGTTTGTTTATACTCAACTTTCCAAAGGTTGGTCTCTCTTTGCTTTAATGAAAAATAGAAAACAACTCTTTAAAATAAAAATAAAAATTAAGCTTGAGAAACTTTTAGAAATATGTTAGAACCAACAACTCTTCCCCACTACATATAAAAATAATTCAAAAATCATAAAAATGTTTAGCAGTCATGAAAGCTGTCACAAACAGGATGGGCTACACACGGTACTATAAGTTATAATGCTTGTAATGTTGGGGGACCAGCAGAGGTCCCTCTGGCATATGTACCCTTTGGTAGATTTAGTCTTTGTTTTAACCTCAGCATGGTCTGTTTTACTCATCTCATTTTTAATAACTATCTAAACATTTTCTACCCTAAATTTGCATTTCCAAAGGGTAAAAACAAGGTGAAAAACACCCCTGAAGGTAAAGAACAAGATAGAAAATTTGCAACTCAAAGACACAGAACATACTTTCAGGCCTAAATATCATTATTATTATTACTTTCTAATTTTAAATTAACAGAAAAAACTAAAAATTGACACATAATTATACCAATTTATGGGGTAGATAGTGATGCTGTGATACATATAATGTACAGTGATCAGATCAGGGTAATTACCATATCCATCATTTATCATTTCTTTGTGTTGGGAACAGTCAATATTCTCCTAGCTATTTAAAACTATACAATATGTTATTGTTAACTATAGTCGTTATACAGTGCTATAGAACAACAGAACTTATTCCTCCTATTTAGCTATAATTTTGTGTCTTTTCACAGATCTCTCCCTATTTCCCTCTTCTCTTTACCCTTCCCAGCCTGTAGCATCCATTTTATTTTTTACTTCTATGAGATAAACTTTTTTCAGCTTTCACCTATGAGAACATGTGCTGTTTAATTGTCTATTCCCGGCTTATTTCACTTATTTGCCAAGACAAAGAAAAGTGTAGGTAGGAAGTCCAGTTAAGACAAAATGGTCGAAGGTAAGGCTTGTTATGCAGATTTAAATCTTTGGCTTCTCTCCTGAACAAAAATCCTATCTACATTATGATTTCCATTATCTTAACCACATTTACATTTTTTTTTTTTCTTTTAGAACCTACTCTGTATCAGAATGTAGCTGCACTTATTACATTATCTAAACTGCAGGCAAAAAACAATGGTGACATTTTAGCTTCTAATACAATTAAAGGCATAACGTCTTTTTGGCATAAGTAATGTATAACAGCACAAAAATTTTCCTGGTTTACAGTATTCAAAAGGAAAAATATATAAATATTTCAGATTTCTAAAAGTAGCATAGGCTCATGCTATGTAAATCCAACTAATTTAAAAACAGCAAGTAATTCGTACCTCGGTCCTAGAGAAGAATTTACACAGCTCTACAATGGCTTACAGATCGCCTTCTCTTATCTGGAAGATAATCACTCATAATGAAAAACTATAGTTTTATGATAGCAAGTTCTTTCAGATATTTTTTCCAGCAGATCTTGAGGAATGAATTTGGGGGAGTGGTGTTTTGTAGGCTGTTACTATATTATACCTTATTATGAGAGCAAATAATTTTGCTCTGATTTGACTGAAGCTTTGCTAATTGGAGATACCTCAGTGAACTGTAAGTTACAGCACAGAGTCCGCTTAAACAAGTAGCTCTAGCATAAAAGGGAAAAATAACAGAGTACTGAAGAAGAATTAACAGTCTTTTTAGGGGGTGCCTGGTAAAGCATTTGGCTTTGCGAATTTAAGAAATAAATGAGACACACAACACCTAGCAGAGTATCATGTCCACTTTTAGATTTCATTGATCTAAAATTAGGTACCCCTGGGAACAGACAAGATTCACCAAGACATCACTCATATTACATATTTGTATTAACTATTTTGATGATTGCTTGGCTTAAGATGGTAAGGCATGCAAGCTGGAACCACAAGGGAAATACTCACGTTTGAGGGGTATAGAGGCCTTGTTTATTTACATCCTGGGATCTTAGCTCCTGCATGGAGAGGCGGCCAGCACCACCGGTGGAAACTGAACTGCGCTTCATGCTGATGACCTACATTCACGAATTCAGTATTAAAAAAAAAACCTTTCCAGACAGAGATGGTACATTAAGCAACTATTCATCCTTAAACAGAAAGGCAGTCAAGTTTCATCGTTTCTTCAGGATCATCTTTCCCCTGGGGTATCTGTATTTGTTAATGTGCACTGAAGTTCTCATTTGCAGGGAACATCTATTTAATTCCATTTAAAAATATTCAACATAAACATTTATTAACTGCCCACTATGTATAAGGGAGTGTGCTAGGCAATGCAGGAGATGCAAAGATGAATAAGTTACGGTTTTTGCCTTCACAAAGGTATCCGTGGTAGCTAAAGCCCTGTCTATTACCCAGACCACATCACTGCTGTTGGCTGTGCGTACTTCAATAGGAAGACAAAAAAATTACCTCAAATTCTCTTATTCATCTCAAAATGTTTCCTTTTCTTTTGTTTCAGAGAATGGAACTATTCTGTTTTCCTAATGTCAATCTCTCCTGCTCTATCCTTAACCCATTGTTTCTCAATTACTGCCCTTTTGGCATCAATCTCCCCTTCAACAAGGATAAATCACCTGGTCCATAAAATGGTCTATAGGCTGCCTCCTTTTACAAGCCACAATAACAGGTCACTCCCTTCACATCTGCTAAAAAGGTTGTCTCCTAGGATACACATGATTGACAAAACTTTTGATCCAGTCTCATCTCTGCACCCAGACTTCTCAGGTCCTGCCCTGGCTTTCAGGAAGGTGACAATCCTTTTACTTCTCTGGGTACTCCTTAGTCTTTTACACTGATTACACTCTTCTTGGTTTTGGCCGCCTATTTCTTCTTCGATGTGCGCTTGTTCATCTATTCAACTTTTCCACCCACACCTGTGTGTCCACGTTTAATCTCCACTTACAGTGTACTCTCATGATTTAAGATGAAGACTTCTACGCAGTCCTACACGGCCACTAAGAAGCTACACTAGTATTTGGACGCAACCCACCCAACGGATCCTCTCTTGTCCATCTCTTTCCGCCCCCTTCAATCCTTCCCCGTTTCCTCTCCCGAGCCTCCACTCCTCATCCGTGTTCCCCAGGCCCTTCCCTTTCCTCCTTGGGAAATCGTTGCCACTAGAAATTTAATGGACCCCATGAAACCAGCGCCTCGCACAGTTTTGGCCTCGAGGCTTCTCTCAACAGCACACACACACCAAAACATTGCCTTAGGACCTCTAAATTGAAGTCATTTGCGCCATTACTTTCTTCATCCAGAACAGTTCTGCAGAAACAAAATTAATCCAATGTCATCAGTCACCTTTTATCCAGTTTCCTGACACGACTCAGGGACCAAATTTCTGTAAACCGTGCAAGTATCCGCTAGATAGGACAGCAGTCATCAAAACACCAGCTCCTTCCTCAGCCCGCCAAGGCCGTTCGAATTTGAAATGCTCCGCCGGCGCTGACGTCATTACGCACGACGCGCTCCGTAACTTTCCTGCGACCGCCTGGTCTCTGGAAGTATGTGTGCTGGTCGCGCCCAGCCGCCTCACCCAAAACTGGTGTCTGTGGGACAGTGTAAGCGTCCCTTCGAGGTCGGACCCCGTCTTTAGGGCACGACCCCTAAAGTTAGGTCTGAAGACCCGTGGGCAGCCTGAGCGCTCCAACTAGCCCTGGAAACGTTTTTCCGTACAGCAACATGGCGGCGCCCGTGGACTCTTAGTAAAGAAGAAAGCTTTTTTTTCTGTGGACTGAAAGGGGCGTTTTTCATGATCAGTATTTAGATGGGTGCTGTTTTCATGAGGAGAGTCTGGGAAGGCGGCGTCCGCTTCTCTGACAAGGGAAGAGGTGAGGTGGGAGAGGGGCTGCGGAGTGGGGGCGGTGGGCTCCAAGGATTGCGTTGGTACGGCTGCCGCCGAAATTCGGGGTCAGTATTTGATCACTTGCCGGTGTCTCACAGTCCTCTAGTGGTGGCTGACCTGTGAGAGGCTAGGAAGAATCCGAGTGGTTGGGGGCGGGCGGCGAGAGAGTGGATGTGAAGCAGAGACGCAGGAGAGGGGTACACTAAGAACGGTAACAGTAAATCACTTTGCTAAAATAGGATTTCCTCACTGCTGTGAGTTTGAACCCAGAAACAGGCACTGCCTGGTACCTGGAGAGTGGTGGTGATGAAAGATCTCACAGCTCCAGGAAGTCTGGATACTTGGGTCTGGTAGCAATTGTGCCATTAACTAGCGTTGTTATTTTTGGGCAGGTTGCCTTTCTGCTCTGAGTTTCAATTTTCCCTTCTGAATTTCTAGCTTTCAGTAGCCATTCCAGGACCATTTGACCTCAGCTGTGGCCTATGAAGGGGATGGGGAGGAACCAAGGATTATATTAATATAAAAATTGTATTAAAATTAGACAACAGCCCGATAATAGAAAGTCTCCTTGTGGAATACTGTTAGCTTAAACTTTACCTACAGATTGTTAAATCCTTAGCACTAATGTTTTCCCCAGAAAATATTAATGGAAACATCGTTTGCTTTTCAGACTAGATAGTTGTTGCTTCAAAAGGTGGTTTTACACAAATATGAAATTTAAAAAAACTTTAGTACAGAAAGAATTGCTTGTATTTCGGTATACATCCACAGTTCAGCATTTAGTGGTACTGGCAGCAATTTGCCAGGAAGTCAAGCCTGACAATTTCCTGATACTCCTGCTGTGCACCCCAAGTTCTTACTCCCTGCTGAGGATCTTGAGAAGCAGCAGCACCAAAACCAAAGTAGGCACCAAATTCAAGGTTCTTTTGGTTCCAGTTGTCACATTTCAAGCTAGACTCCAATAGATTGCAAGGATGATCAAATGAGAGCCCTGTTTAAAACTTCAATTTTTAAGAGCAAGCACAATTGCAGGAAAAGAAAACAATTCAGAGGGATCATGTGTGCTTACAGTTGTCTTCATGTGGCCTTTTCCCAGGTTTAACTACCAAAGACCCTGAGAGCCGGGGTGTCTGAATAACCCTGGTGACTCTTCTTTTCACCATATCAAAACCTGAGTTAAAAGCCTGATGATAACAGCAGAAGGTGGCAGGGCTGAGGACCCAATATTCATTCCCTAGGCTGGTGGAGAGTGAATAAACGTGCTTCCAACCTTACCTTATGGCTTCTGGTCAAAGCAAGGAAGTGTTGGGTGGTGACAGTGCAAAAAGAGACTTGACGGGGAGGGAGCAGCATCTCTTGATAAAGGTGGGGAAGAGAAGATATGGGGAAAGCCCTGAATTCCTCATGGAAGGCCAGTCTCAGAGGGGAGCAGAGTGGAGGGCTTATGATCTGTGCTTTGGCCAAGGTGGGAGTGGAAAAGGTGGGGACAGGACAGTGGTTTGGAAGGAGCATCATTGAATACTTAAACTGAGTGCCCACACACTCAGCAGTGGTCCCACAGGCTGTGAACTTGGCATCTACTCTAGCGAGCCTCCCAGGCTAGAGGGCTGTTGCAGCGGGTGGGGGTGGGAGGCAGGGAGAGTGGTAGGGGGAGAAGGCAGAGACCCCAGGACATGTAAGAGCAGCAAGGTGATTGTGTGATGTCTTTCCACAGTCGAATTAGATGTACCTCACCAGTTATGAAGGGGATCAATTTAAATATACTTTCTTGATCCTGTCGCTTGACAGGATGATTTGTTATAGCACAACTTACATATTTCAAATGGACAAAAAAAGTATCATTCACAGATTCTTAAGATACATTTCTTTTGAATAGGAGCAGCCTTTCTAGTACTTCGAGGTCTACAAGATGTATCTAGAAAATTTACTGTTGAAAATGAAGACTGCTTAAATTCAATGGGAGTGGGGAAAAGGGACTGTGGTTTTTCTTTTTGATTGATTGCTGTAACATTGTCTTTCAGGCTGCTGAGGGAGTTTCATGTTTTCTTTAGATGTCATTAGGTGTCCAACCTCTTGTAAGACAACTTTGATGCTATGTGAATTCTGCTATTTTGCTGGCACTGAAATGGCTCTTGAGTCCACCACTCCTTTAGAACAGCTAATTCCATATTAATTTTTGTTACACATCTTACAGAGGGGAGTGCTGCTGGGTATTTAGGTCCACATTCTATTTTAAGGCTGTATATTCCGTTTTCGTAAATTGTTCTTGGAGGCCCAATTGTCATCCCTGTCCATTTGGTAAGGGTCATGTCTTTATCATCTTCAAGACTCTAGCTAACTGTGCCATCTCATACTCCTTTCTTTTTTCTTTTTTTTTTTTTTGAGATGTAGTTTCACTCTTGTTGCCCTGGCTGGAGTGCAGTGGTACAATCTCGGCTCACTGCAACCTCTCTCTCCTGGGTTCAAGTGATTCTCATGCCTCAGCCTCCCGAGTAGCTGGGATTACAGGTGCATGCCACCACGCCTAGCTAATTTTTGTACTGTTAGTAGAGACGGGGTTTCACCATGTTGGCCAGGCTGGTCTCAAACTCCCAGCTTCAGGCCATCCGCCTGCCCCGGCCTCCCAAAGTGCTGGGATTACAGGTGTGAGCCACCATGCCTGGCCACCCCTTTCTAACCTTCTTCAGGTTCTTCCAACAGTTGGAAATTGAGAGTTACTCCTACTCCTGAGCCTGTGGTGGCTGCCATCATGTGTCACTGTCACTCTTAGGCTGGCCCTTTCTTCCCTCTAATTCATTTCTGACACTATTTATATCTCGAGATAGTGTCACATCTCCCAGATTCATTGTATAGACATGAGTAATTACATCATTGGTCAGTGGTGATCAACTCAGCCTTCATCCCTGCACTCGGTAAGGCTGCAGGGGCTGTGAGCCAGGAACTGTGGATGAATACCAATGTACATCATAATATCACTTATGGAGTTAGAAATTTGAATCTAAATGCTATGATTATTAGTGCCATTAGTCACTCATTTATTTATTATTCTGTCCCCTCTTAAAGTTCTCCACCACACTGGATTTAGAAAGCAATATTTAGAATTCTAATCCATCTTTTGAACAAAAGTTGGTTCTGAGAAACCTAGTTACCCAAATGGTATTGCTCAGAACCTATTACAGATCTAGACTCTTAACCTTGCAGTTTTGGTAGGGTTTAATGCTTCTGATGTGCTGTTAAAATTGCATTTTCTCTGACTAGAACAATTTTTTCTTTTAACCTTATTACTCCATCGGTAGTAGTGATTAAGCAGGGCAGCTGATACTGGAGAATGGGCTGACTTATTATGACAAGTGTAGTTTGAAAAAACGAGGGATTACCTGCTAACAGCACCTTCTGAAATTCTGTGCCCCTCTCTAGATAGGTTTATCTCATTAAAACGGGTGAATTCAGGTAGCTAATATAGTGTTCTTTGCTTTTACAGGATACTTTGTCCTTTTAAGGATTCAGTGACTTCGTGACTTGGAGGATAGTGGCTAGACCCAAGGACCAAAGCAAGAAGTCGTGGGGGGCCCAGAAAGACAGGAGGATCACATTGAGATTCCAGACATAAGATCAGGTTTTAACCCCTTTTGGCCAAATTTAGGCTGAAAATGTTGAATTATCAACTCTGAAGTTAAAAAGAAAGTTTATATTAAAACATTGCAATTTTCCTTAGAATTTCTGTATATATTAACATATCATGAATGCTAAATTCTCTTCAATGTGCATGTCAGGTTTATGTACTTGTACATCACATCTGTGTGTATGAAGTGTATGTTTATTGAAATACAAGACATTTAAGAAGCTGATCTGGGAAGTTGGATTTTACTTCTAGTTCCTAATTCCCAGAGGCTTTTTTAAAGGAAGGGAATGTCTGTGGTTCACCAGTTGTCAGCTGGGTGGTTACTGGATCATCTTTCTTTTATCAACAAGATAAACTATCAACTTCACCAGCATCATGAACCTTGTTGCAGTAAAAATGAGTTCACTACTTCTGTTCACTTTGAGTCTCTTCAAATGGATTCTGTGTCCTCTTCTGGAGCCTGTGCTGCATTTATTGCTTCTGACCCTACCACTAAGCCAGAGAATGATGATGGAGGAAATTATGAAATGTTAACACAAAAATTTGTTTTTCGACCTGAACTGTTTGATGTCACCAAACCTTATATAACTCCAGCTGTTCACAAAGAATGCCAGCAAAGTAATGAAAAGGAAGATCTGATGAATGGTGTTAAAAAAGAAATCTCCATTTCCATTATTGGGAAGGTAGAAAGTTTAAAGAAATACTTATTTTTCTGCAGAAAACATAATTGAGATTTATCATCTAAATGTCTTAAATATCTGATGATTCATTAAGTATGAAGAAGAATCAATAAAACCCAAGAAGGCTTTAGCATATCCAAAATAATTTGTAGCTTTTTTCTAGCTTCAACTATTCTTAGAGGACCAAATTGCATAGCATTTCAAAAATAAGCAAAGTTGGCTGGGAAGTGAATTCTCTGTAAATTAAGCAAAGAAAATAAACCCAGACAGAAAAAAAAAAAAAAAAAAAAAAAACCAAACAAAAAACTCCCAAAAAATCCTTTTCTTGATTAGGCATTTGTATTAATGAATATGTTCACAACTGTTTTTGCTTTAAAAAAAAAAGTTTTTCTGCAAAATTTCTAAGCCGTAAGTGGTTTTTTGGAGGTTTTTAGAGAGCTATCCCTTGGAGATAATGTAATAAAAGTTTGTAAGAAGGGTGATTGTTTTAAAAGTTTCTAGTGATACAAGTAGAAAGCTCCTGTGGTAAATATACCCGTTTGTAAAGTGTATGTATTTGTATATTCACACTGGTGTAGTCTTTTGGTAGAGTTTTGAGAATGCCATACAGGATCAAATTAATTATGCTTTAATACTTTTTATATCTTTCAGGAGTTTAGAGGTGATTTTACAAAGTCCGTTTTAGGTAGATGATAATCAGGATTTTCTTTTTTTAAATTTTTATTATTATACTTTATGTTCTAGGGTACATGTGCATTTTCTTTTTTAGTGATAGGATTAACATTCATTACTCACGGACCAAACATTTGAGCTCTTTCTATGTGCCATTGTATGCAGAGTGATGAAACAAGATAAACATAATCCCTCCCTCATGGATCTTATAAATAGGTGGAGAAGAAAGATATTAAATATGAAAGTTTGTTGAGAATTAGAATAAGGGAAGTAATAAGGAAAATACGTTTTCTGAAGTAGAACTTTTTAATGTTGTGACTTTTGTGCATATTTTTCTTTTTTTAATTTTAATTTTAATTTTTAACTTTTAAGTTCACAGGTACATGTATAGGGTTGTTATATAGATAAACTTGTGTCATGGGGGTTTGTTGTACAAATTATTTCATCACCCAGGTATTAAGCCTAGTACCTATTAGTTATTTGTCCTGACCCTTCCCCTCCTCCCATCCTCTGACCTTCACCCTCCAGTAGGCCCCAGTGTCTGTTGTTCCCCTCTATGTGTTCATGTGTTGATCCCCCTTTTTTTTTTGAGATGGAGTCTTGCTCCCAGGCTGGAGTGCAGTGGTGTGATCTTGGTTCACTGAAACCTCTGCCTACCAGGTTCAAGCAATTCTCCTCTCTCAGCCTCCCGAGTAGCTGGGATTACATGCGTCCACCACCATACCTGGCCAATTTTTTGTATTTTTAGTAGACACCTTGTTGGCCAGGCTGGTCTTGAACTCTTGATCTCTGGTGATCCACCTGCCTTGGCCTCCCAAAGTGCTGAGATTATAGGCATGAGCCACCAGGCCCAGCCCCCTTTTTTCTTCCATCAAATATTTATTGGTCATCTACTGTGTGTCATGCACAGAAAAGAAAATATTTAGTGTTGGCTGAGGTCTTAGTAAAATAGTATGTTGTAATATAAGTAATTCAGATAATAACAAGCCTTTGTAAAGGACTTTATAGTTTGCAGGGTATGGGCATTAATTTTTAATGTTTAATCTCTTAGGCTGGGTAAATTTCTCATAACATGGAAAAAGAATAGATGAGCCTATGTAATAAATGTAATCTTGATGACACTGTCTGATATGCTAAAGCAAATTATACAATACTAACTCAATTTATTTATGTAGCCAACCAACATTTATTGTTAGCTTGCTAAGAGTTTGACACAAGGTAAACACTGGGGTTTCAGCAGTAAAAAGTACAAAGTCCTTACTCTATATTACATGGCCTTATGTGTTCTTTTCTATGGAATTGTTAGATATAGAACAGTGTTAATATAAATCTGATTCATACCTAACCCTCAGATCAGTCATAAGGTGCATTGGAATTTCTTTTGATGATAGCATCTGGCTAGTTCCTCTCTTCAGAAATGAAGGAAATTGAGAATAATTATACCATATATAAAGTCATAGATAGCACTAGTAACTTCATACAGTGTCATAGTTTCCTTGTATTTCATGGGCGCTGATGCTACACTTTATCATGTGGAACTAGTTCTTTTTTTTTTGAGACGGAGTCTCACACGCTATTCTCCTGCCTTAGCCTCCCAAGTAGCTGGGACTACAGGCGCCTAACACCATGCCTGGCTAATTTTTTTTTTGTATTTTTAGTAGAGACGGGGTTTCACCATGTTAGCTGGGATGGTATTGATCTCCTGACCTTGTGATCCGCCCGCCTCGGCCTCCCAAAATGCTGGGATTACAGGTGTGAGACACCGCGCCTGGCCGGAACTACTACTTATTAATAGCAGATAAAGCTGAGGTGACATTTTACAATCCATTTTGTTTATGTCGTTGTTTTTAATTTACTTTGGGAAAACTTACCCCCTCAGTCTAACCCTTTGCATTGATTTTGACCTCAGTAGACAATTATTACTATTATTAATTATTATTAGACTGAGATATAAGACATAAATAATGTTATAATGATAAAGCAAAATATTAATGGCACCATAACTTTTCCTCTATAATTGATCTACCCTTTAGAAGCGTAAAAGATGTGTTGTTTTCAATCAAGGTGAATTGGATGCGATGGAATACCATACAAAGGTAAGTGTAAAATGTTCATTGATCACATTGGAAGATTAATATGAAGTAGTAGAGAATAAATGAACAACATAAATAAGGATTTTTTTTGAAAATCAAGCAATCATTTTGATCAGGCTTGGCACTTAATATATTTATTGTTAATTTTATAGTGATGAACAGTTTAAACCAGTTTTGTCTGTTTTTTTGTTTTTTGTGTTTTGTTTTTTTTGGGACAGTCTCATTCTGTTGCCCAGGCTGGGGTGGAGTGGTCGTGGTGCAATCTCAGCTCACTGTAGCCTCCTCCTCCCGGGATCAAGCAGTCTCATGCCTTGGCCTCCTGAGTAGCTGGGATTATAGGCATGTGCCACCATGCCCTGCTAATTTTTTGTATTTTTAGTGGAGATGGTGTTTCACTGTGTTGGCCAGGCTGGTCTCGAACTCCTGAGCTCAGGCAGTCTGCCAGCCTCAGCCTCCCAAAGTGCTAGGATTTTACAGGAGTGAGCGACTGTGTCTAGCCTACACCAGTTTTTATTGAAACTTCATGTACTTCTATTAGTTTAAATATTTAACAAAGTAAACTTATGCTATATTGGTTAAGTTTAGAGATTTTAGATATTATAAAATCCTATTGTCTATAATATAAACAACATATAGACAATGTAATAAAACAATTTAATATAAACAATATAATAAAACCATATATTAAGATAGTGGCAGAAGAGAGCATGAGTAATGTGAAGGATATGTTTCTAGAACTTAGCGATAAATGAGATCAGATAGTTAAAGAAATGAGAAGAAACAGAATGAACACAAATATTTTAAGCTTAATTTTTTTTTTTTTTTTCCGTGGGGCACCAGGCTGGTCTGGAACTGCTGGCCTCATGATCCACCCACCTCGGCCTCCCAAAGTGCTAGGATTACAGGCATGAGCCATTGTGCCCGGCCTCTACTGGATTTTATTTGCTAATATTTTATTTGGGACAGTCATAAGAGAGATTGGTCTGATATATTTACTTCTTTGGTCTTATATATAATTATATATGTAAATATGTAGGATGTTTGCACACTGGAGAACTTATTAGCCCTCTCGTGTTGAAAGCTAGAAGTTTTCCTTCTTTTTACTTTCCAATTTTCTGGAGCAATAGAAAAAGAATTGGGATAATTTATTCTTTAAAAGTTTGATAAAGTTTGATAGAACCCTGCTTTGTAACCATCTCAGTGTGTTGCTTTTTGTGGTGGATACTTTTTTGGCAGCTTTCCTTTTTTTCTCTTTTCTTTTTTCTTTATTTATTGATAGAAGAATTTAATGGGGAGGCTTTTTCTCTGGGCACTGCTTTAGCAACATTCTGGAAGTTCTGATGTGTTGTGTTTTAATTGTCATGCGGGAAGGTTTTTAGTAACAAAATCAGGTTTTTAAATAGAGAACAGGATTTTCAGGTTTTTTGTTTCTGTTGATGTCAGTTTTCACAAGTTTTATTTTCTAAGAAGTGCGTCCATTTCAGGCCAGACATGGTGGTTCATGCCTGTAATCGCAGCACTTTGGGAGGCCAAGGCAGGCGGATCACTTGATGTTAGGAATTGGAGACCAGTCTGAACAACATGGTGAAATCCCATCTCTACTAAAAATATAAAAAAATTAGCCAGGTGCAGTGGTGGGCTCCTATAATCCCAGCTACTCGGGAGGCTGAGGGAGGAGAATTGTTGGAACCTGGGAGACGGAGATTGCAGTGAGCCGAGATAGTGCCACTCCATTCTAGCCTGGCTGACAGAGAGACTCCCTCTCAAAAAAATAAAAAACAAAAAACAGAAATGTGCTCATTTCATCCTAGTTGTCAAATTTGTTAGCATGAAGTTGTGTTATCTTATGCTTGCTTTTAGTGTCTGTAGGATCTGTGGTGATAATAACTTTTTCATTGCTTTTATTGGTAATCTGTGTTTTTTTTAAATAGGTAAAATATACATACAAAATTTACTGTTTTAACCATTTTTAGATGTACAATTTAGTGGTACTAAGTACATTCAGAGTGTCATGCCATCATTACCACATCCATCTTCACAACGTGTTCATCATTCCAAACTGAAACTATACATTAAATAGTAACTCCCCACTCCCCCTTCCTTTGCTGCCTAGTAGCTAGTATTCTACTTTCTGTCTTTCTGAATTTGCCTGCACCTCATATAAGTGAAATCACATAATACTTGTCCTTTTGCATCTGACTGATTTCGCTGTGTCTTCAAGGTTTGTCCATGTAGCATATATCAGAATTTCCTTCCTTTTTAAGGCTGAAAAATATTCCATTTTATGTAAATATTACATTTTGTTTATCCATTTGTTGATGGACTTTTGGGTAGTTTCTCCCTTTGGCTATTGTGAATAATGCTTCTCTGAAAATAGGTGTACAGATATCTATTCCAGTTCTTGCTTTTAATTCTTTTGGATATATACCCAGAAGTGGAATTGCTGGATTTTATCGTAATTCTGTGATTCAGTTTTGGAGGAACCACCACGCAGCCTTCCACAGTGGATCTATCATTTCACATTCCTACTAGCAATACTCAAGGGCTCCAGTTTCTCCACATCCCTGCCAACACTGAATAGCTATTCTAGTAGGTGTGGAGTAGTATTTCATTGTGGTTTTGATTTGTATTTACCTAATGGTTAGTAATGTTGAGCATCTTTTTATGTGCTTGTTGGCCATTTGTATATTTTCTTGAGAGAAATGTCTGTTCATATCCTTTGTTCATTTTACAATTGGGCTGTTTGGTTTTTTTCTTGTTGAATTTTAGAAGTTCTTTATATATTCTGGATGTTAACCCTGTATCAGATATATGATTTACAAATATTGAAAGAACCAGCTTTTAATTTAGTTAATTTTCCTTACTATCTCTGTGTTTTCCATTTTATTGATTTCTGTTTTTTAATTATTTCTTTTGGTTTACTTTGCTCTTCTTTTTCTAACTTTTTTAATTTTTAATTTTCTTGGGTATTTTCTTAAAGTGGAATATGTCAGTTAACTTATATATTTTTTTGTTTTCTAACTTAAGCACTTGAAGCTGTAAGTTTTCCTCTAAATCACTGCTTTGGTTGCCTTCCACCTATTTTGATATTTTGTATTTTCACTTTGATTCAATAAAAAGTATTTTCTGATTGTCCTTATTATTTTATCTTTGACCTATATGAATTATTTAGAATTGTTCCATTTCATTTCCAGATAATGAGTTTATCTCAGTGTCTTCTTGTTCTTGATTTCTAATTTAAATCCAATGGGGCATAGAGCATACTTTTAGGATTTCAGTCCTTTTACATTTATCGAACCTTGTTTTATGGCCCAGCATATGAGTTATCTTTGTGCCTGTATTATATGCTTTTGGGAAGAATATGTATTGTCTATACATATTCTTTCCAAAAATTGTTAGATGCAGTGTTCTATGAATGTCAGATGCAGTGTTAAATGCATTGTTCTATGAATGTCAGATAAAGTTAGTTGATAGTGTTTTTCAGGACTTCTGGGTCTTTAGAGATTTTTGCATTAATTAATCTCTCACTTGCTGGGTAGCTTTTTAAGGTTGGTTTAGAATAGTATTTAAGGCTAATTATGCCCCTATACAGATGCAAGATCCATCTAATTACCTAATACCTCTGTCAAGAACTGTGAAGTGTCTGAAATTTTACCCTATTTGGAAGCTAACAAGTTAGCTTGCCTTAGTTTCATGGATGCTAGCAGAAGATAGGAGACTCCTAGGTCGGGGACAAAGGACTTTATTGCTTCTGGCACAGCATGTGCTTTATGCTCACAGGCTCCCTTTGCGCCCCATATCCCATGAGGACGATGGCAGTCAACCTAGTTGCATGCTGTGCATGCAGTTGGTTTGCTATGCATGCAGCGATTCTTTGATTCACAGCTAAGGGATCCCAAGCTTAAGGAACTCTCGTCTTTTAAGTGGGTTGTGAACAAACCTGTCCGACTTTTTGCCCCAGAGGGAGAGTTTATTCACCTGGACAGCATACAAGTCTGTCCTCTGCCTTGGGGAGACACTACTCCATCTTCCATGTTGTATACATATCCTTGGAAATTTTTTCTGGAACAAAAGCTGTCAGTGCCTCTGCTCAGAGATTCAGGATGAATTGTCTCCCAATTGCCCTGTGAATCATGAGGTGTTCCCATCTGAGTGGTAGAAACGGGCACTATTGTTGGCCCTAGGGAGCATCAGACACTTTAAAAAACATTTTTTTTTTTTTTTTTTTTTGAGACGGAGTCTGGCTCTCTCGTCCAGGCTGGAGTGCAGTGGCCGGATCTCAGCTCACTGCAAGCTCCGCCTCCCGGGTTCCCGCCATTCTCCTGCCTCAGCCTCCCGAGTAGCTGGGACTACAGGCGCCCGCCACCTCGCCCGGCTAGTTTTTTGTATTTTTTAGGAGAGACGGGGTTTCACCGTGTTAGTATTTTTAAAATTTTTGGGGTACTCCTTTTCCCAGCTTCTGATAGTTCCTTCACACGCTTGTACTGATCAGTACATAGGTGAATTTCTCTAGTGTGCCTACCTGCAGATCTCCAGTTCTCTCTCTGTGGAGCTCTTTCCTCTCTGATAGTCTGTCCTGTACACTAGTAACTGTACTCTCATTTCCATCTCCTCAGCTGAGGGATTCTTCCAGACTCTGCTCAGATTCTTCCTTTCTGTGGCCTGGATGCTCTCTCCAGGCAATTTGCTAGGGCTATCGATTTCTTTCCCATCGCTTAGGGCTACTGCCCTTCCTTACCTAATGTTTTGAAAGCTCTTGTTACTGTTTCTCTTTGTTATTCCAGCCAGTGGAAGTCTCTGGCAACATTTCTCTTTATCACTGTTTCTTTTAGCAATTTGATTAGGATGTTACATAGTGCAGATTCCTCCTCCTCCTTTTCTCCTTCCTCCTCCCCTTACCGCCACCTCCTCCTCTTCTTCTTCAGCAAATTTGGAAATTTTCAGCCATTATTTCCTCAAACAGTTTTTCTGTCTTCATTTTGGACACATTTGGTCCTTTTTTTTATGTCTCTATGTCACTTCTTTCTATGCTCATTTTTTCCTTTACATCTTTGTACATATGAATATAATATAAATACTTTAATATCCTTTTCTACTTTTATTCCCAATATATTTATTTGGATTGCAAGTAAACCTACCTGAACTTTTCTACTAATTTTATCATCTGTGTCATTCCTATGTGTTTCCATTTGGTGATTTTTTTCCGTTTATAATAAATTTTTCTGCTTCTTTACATTCCTGGTAATTTTAATTTTTTTGTAAGATATTTCTACTTTAGCTTTTTGGGTAGTTCATATTTTTGTATTCCTGTAAATATTCTTCAGCTTTGTTCTCAGAAAACGTTTCTTTGCAACTGGGTGATCTTTCTGAGACTCTCTGTGAGCTTATTTATTTAGTTATGATCAGAGCAGACTTTGGTCTAGAGCTATTTTTTTTTTCTTCGAATTGCCAAGGCAATACCCTTGTGAATTGTCTGCCTGATGTTCTGTTTGTTATGAGGTTTTCCATTTTGACGTTGAGGAGCACTAACTATTCTCAGCCCTGGATGAGCCCTGGGCATTGTTTCCTCTAGTCATTTCTTCTGGTTCTTCCTTCCTTGGTGCTTGGTAGTTTCATCCCATGCATGTGTGGATCGTGAGTGGGCTGGAATTTTGGGCAGATCGCCTGCAGCTCTTAGGAGCTCTGTCTGTGCTCTCTCCTCTCTGACACCTTCCTTGGCTTTTCTAGACTCCAAGCTCCATCTCCTCAACTCAGAGAGACTGTTGGACTCTGCATGTGTCTTCCCTGTGCCTGGGAACTTTCTGAAGGCAGTAAGCTGGAGCAGTCCTTTGTTTTTGCTGTGTAGGGACCACTGTTCTACACTGCATGGCATCCGAAGTCTGAAAGCCTTTTTTTTTTTTTTTTTAAACCAACCAACCAAACAAACAAACATATCTTGTGCCTTTAAAAAAAGTAATTTCAGTTGAAAGGGTAAATCTGATCCATGATACTCCTTCTTGTCCAGAAGGGTAACTTGGGTTTTATTTTTTATAATTATTTTAGTTGTATTTTTACAAACCTTTGTTATATGTTTATTTTACAAAGTTATGTTTTTCTTTATAATTCAAGCTATGTTTTATGAAAGAAAAGATATGTTTATTTTAAAATTAGATAGCCAGAAAAATCTAAGATTAAATGTGTGATTTAAACTTCTCTCTATAGATTATTATTTTTTTTTTTTTCTTATATAGGAGTAATATACTACCACTCAACCTCTATTGAAACGTTGGCGGCCCTGAGACCTCCTTTTGTAATTTAGCATGTGATAGATGTATTTCTGCCCCCAAAGGAATGAAGAGCAGATACTTCCTCATGCAATCCCTATAGATTAGAAATCCCATTTTCTTCTAGAAACATTCAAATTATCAAATTTACCTTATACATGTTTGAGGATATATTTTCTTATATATATTGTTTGGTTATTTAGTTGTCAGTGAATTTGTGAGGGTTGTTTCACTCTACAGTTGGAAAACAGCAGTTCAAAGGTGTGCTCACACATTCTTATCTTTTCATTGTAATACAGAATTATTTTACTGTAAGCGTTAAGGATATTGATTTCAATTTATAAACTCAGATATTCAAAGCGCAGTCAATGTTCTTTTTTAATGTCAATGTTCTTTTAATGTACTTAAAATTCTCTTTCAGATCAGGGAGCTGATTTTGGATGGATCTTTACAATTGATCCAGGAAGGTCTCAAAAGTGGTTTTCTTTATCCACTTTTTGAAAAACAGGACAAGTGTAGTAAGCCCATTACTTTACCACTTGACACCTGCAATTTGCCAGAATTATGTGAAATGGCAAAGCATTTGCCTTCTCTGAATGAAATGGAACATCAGACATTGCAATTGGTGGAAGAGGATACATCTGTTACAGAACAGGATTTATTTTTGCGAGTTGTTGAAAACAACTCTAGCTTTACAAAAGTGATTACTTTAATGGGACAAAAATACCTGCTACCACCGAAAAGCAGTTTTCTTTTATCTGACATTTCTTGTATGCAACCACTTCTGAACTGTAAGTAATTCTTGTTTGTTGTTAGACAAATATAATTTTTCTGTGGGCTGAAAGTTAAGAGCTAGTCTGAAATTTGAATATGGGTCAGCATTTATGAGGATAGGGTAAACACTTTTCCTCGTGTTATTTCTCTCTTAGGTTTAATTTTAAGGTGCTGACTTTTCCTTTTTTTAAAAAAATAAATTTTTATTATGAATAAAGAGTCAAAAGCTTATTTCGAAGAGAACAAATATGGTTATTTCTCTGTACTTAGGAATTCAGTATGCAGTTGTGTTTAACCAAATCACTTTTTTTTAACTTCTTCATAGCAAAGTAGAAACGCTTCAGTTATGAATATCGATTCCCGAATCATTCCTAGCCTTGTATAAAGGATACATTTTAAGCTAGTGTTCAAGCTCATTGTCTAAAATTTCTTGAAACATTTTCCTGTACAAAGTTAAAAAATTTACATATTGAAGTCCACAGTCACACAGACCTGTATTTGGCTTTAGATCCTGAAACTTATTTAACTGTGAGTCTTAGGGGTATTCATTTCACAAAACTGAGCCCTAGTCTCCTAATCTATAAAATGGACCTGATAATACCTGCTTCTTAGGGTCATTTTGAGGTATATTGATCAAATTGAGGTAGATTGGTCAAATTGAATTGAATTTCCTGTTTATTGTTATTGGGACTTTTTTAGCAAAATTTTAAGTTATTCGGCAACTACAACACAACTTACTAATGAAAAGCTTCTTTTAATTGCTATCAAGCCTTCTTACACATGAGTGGTTATCCGTGTAGCAGTGCCATAAATTCTTCAGAGTAAATGACAGGATAACAAATTAATGAGAAAACCATGCTATGCATGAACATTTTTTCTCTTCTTTTTGATCTTTGTTACTCTAATAGCTTACAAAATGTCACTTCTTTATTTTAATTTGCATTCTTTTGATTCCTTATGAGATTGCACACATTTATAAAAACATACCTATGTTTATAAAAGGGGGAGAAGGGACAGCTCTTCCTTACAGTATTGGAATTATTCCTTACATAATTGGAATTATTGATTCCAATGAATAAATTAAAGGAATGATGGATCTAGAGAATTTCCATTTGACAAACACCATAAAAATTGGATGTCAAAATAGTGGGTGAAAAGATGAGACAGGCTATTTTCATGGTCTTAAAGTATCTCCTCCCAAGATACTTATTAATTACAAGGGAAAAACTGGTGAAACTCAGCAGATAACACTTTAACCAAAGACTTTTTAACATCCTTTACCTCCTGATATGTTGCACTGATAGGGGCATGGCAGGCATTACTTTGGTGGTTCTCTTGCCAAAAACAAATAACCTACATTTAATCATGAGAAAATACTAGACCCAGATTGAGGGATATCCTATAAAATAATTGGTAGCATTTAAAAGTTTCAAAATCATGAAAGATGAAGACCGAGGAACTTTTTCAGGTTGGAGTAGAGTTAGGAGGGATGGCAGCTAAATGCAATGTTTGATCCTGGCTTTGATCCTGAGTCTGAAAAAGTACATTAGTAAATAATTGGGGAAGTTTTATTATGGTCAATATGTCAGTTATAAAGGGTGAAATTGTTTTAAAATAAAAAGTAAAAAAAATGACCTAGATTTCTTGGGACTATATTAATATGGCTGCCAAGATGCATAGGTAATTCACAGATCATTAGGTTCAGCTTACTGAGCTATGGTCATCTGCAGGTAGTCTCTGTAAAAATTGCAGTAGGTGAAAATTATGATACAATGCTAGAGGTAAGGGAAACATCTAATATTTAATGATAAATTACTCTGTTTGAATAAATGCGATGTATACAGATCCTTTCAGTGCATTCCATTATATTCCATAGTTAAATCACTTGAGTTTTGAAGAACATGTTTAGTTTTTAAAGTGATCACATAGAGAAGGTATTTTCTGAAATTGTATCTTTGTTTTCAGATAGGAAAACATTTGATGTAATTGTGATAGATCCGCCATGGCAGAACAAATCAGTTAAAAGAAGTAATAGGTAAGTGGAAATGAATTAACTGTTAGAAATGCTTTCTAAAAAGCCTGTAGTGCTTTGTACGTGATAGTTTAATATACTATTGGTATTACTTCATGATATAGGTTATCTGAAACTCCTAAAATGCTTTCAATAGTTTTAACAGTTTAATTTCCTTAACTAGTTAATTCTCTTGAACTGTAACTATATATAAGTGTAACAATGTCAAAAGTAGTGCATTTATTAATCACCATAAGCAGTTCAGGGCTGTTTCTGCAACATATCTGTCTTCTTTGGTATCAAATTCTAAAGTTTAGAAATATGTGCCAAAATATTTCTAGTTTTCCTTAATAATGTGTTATGAATGAATTTATCTAATTCATTCTTAAATTTGTTTTTATTTTTAATTTTTTAGTTTATGTTACATCTTAGGGTGATATGTTCAATTAGTTACTAAGATGATATTTCCTTTCAATAGCATTAAACGTTTTTTTCCTTTCAATTCTTTTTTTTTTGAGATGGAGTCTCACTCTGTCGCCAGGCTGGAGTGCAGTGGTGTAATCTCGGCTTACTGGAACCACCACCTCCTAAGTTCAAGCCATTCTGCGTCAGCCTCCCGAGTAGCTGGGACTACAGGCGCATACCACCATGCCTGGCTAATTTTTGTTTTTTCAGTAGATACGGGGTTTCACCATATTGGCCAGGCTGGTCTCGAACTCTTGACCTCATGACCTGTCTGCCTCAGCCTCCCAAAGTGACTGGGATTACAGGCATGAGCTACCGCGCCTGGCCTTTTCCTTTCAATTTTAATAAATGTCTTCAGTTACATTTTCTCTCACTTTTCAGTTTTCTAGACTGAAAAATTCCAATTTCCTTGACTTAAACTTCATATGAAATTTCTTCTTCTCCACAGTGATCCTCACCTTTCTTATGCATCTTATGAACTGTGCCAGTAGGATTTGTTTCTTTTGTTTTCTTTTTCTTCTTCTTCTTCTTTTTTTTTTTTTTTTTGAGATAGGGCCTCACTCTGTTGCCCATGCTGGAATGCAGTGATGCAATCACAGCTCACTACAGCCTCAAACTTCTGGTTCAAATGTGCCTGCTGCCTCAGCCTCCTGAGTAGTTGGGACTGCAGGTGCATGCCACTACACTCGGCTATTTAAAACATTTTTTTTGTAAAGACAGTGTCTTGCTATGTTGCCCAGGTTGGTCTTGAACTCCTAGTCTCAAATGATCCTCCTGCCTCAGCCTCCCATAGTGCTGAGACTACACATGTGAGCCATCATGCCTGGCCAGATTTGTTTCTTTTAAAGTTGCAAGAATCATACAAAGAATTCATGTATCTCTTTTCTGTGTGTGTAGATATCTATATCTTTATATAATTTTTTTGTGAGTTACTTGAGAATGGATTAAGAGAAAGGGAAAGGTACCCTTGAATATTTCAGTATGTATTTCCTAAAAACAAAGATAATTGTCTTACATAACGTAATTATCAAAATAGGTAATCAACACTGATAAATATTATGTACAGATATTTTTCAGGTTACACTGATTGTCCCAGGAATGTTCTTTGTAGCAAATAAAATTCTGGATTATACATGTTCAGTTGTCATATTTCTTTAGTATCTTTTAACTCTCTTTCTTTGGCTGATTTTAATTTGTATCCTTACCCTTGAGAAATTGTAACTGAATATAAAAGCTTTCAGTAAGTTTTGTTTGTTTAGCAAATTTTTGATTCTGTGGGTTGCTTTGGAAACTACCTTAACTTGTAGTTGGTTTTTGAAGTGAGGTGTCTTGAGGACTGGGCCTTCAAACTTTGCAGTTTGGCTAACTCTGGGCAATACATTTTTATTAATAGTTCTCTTGGATGTGTACCTAGGAGTAGAATTACTGCACCATGTAATTCTATCTTTAAGTTTTTGAGGAGCTATCAAACTATTTTCTACAGTGCCTGCAGCATTTTTTATTCCCACCAGCAATGAGGGGTCTAGTTTTTCTACATTCTCACCATTTTCTTTTTGTTTTTTGCATACTTTCCATTGCATCACATTAATATGCATGTTTTAGAATTTGCTCAGTGATTTCCATGAAATTAGAGCTAGAAGAGGCGATATGAATATTGCCTCTTTCTCCACACAAATCAACCCAGTTAAATTAAGGCAATCAAGGAATCTGCAGTTATTGAAACCATGTAACTTCAGATGTTTGACCTGACATTCTTCATACTGTAGCAAAATTAGTTCTTTCATCACTTTGATTATGAAGAGTACTTGTTTAGATGGCAGGAAACGTGGGTGCTTGAGATCTGAATTCTTTTGCTCTTTTTTTTTTTTGAGACAGAGTTTCGCTCTTGTCACCCAGGCTGGAGTGCAATGGTTTGATCTCAGCTCATTGCAACCTCCACCTCCTGGGTTCAGGTGATTCTCCTGCCTTAGCCTCCTGAGTAGCTGGGATTACAGGTGTCCACCACCACACCCGGCTAATTTTTGTCTTTTTTTTAGTAGAGATGGGGTTTCACCATGTTGGCCAGGCTAATCTCAAACTTCTGATCTCAGGTGATCCACCTGCCTTGGCCTCCCAAAGTGTTAAGATTACAGGCGTGAGCTACCACGCCCTACTCTATTTGTTTTAAGAAGTATTTATTGATTATTCCTGACGTACAGTTGTCACATGCTAGAGCTGGATTCCAATGTTTGTTGCATTTGGCCATTGGGAAGTCATTTACGTTTTTCAGGGTAGGCATAATGGTAAAAGTCTCATTGGAGTCAACTAAGGAATAAAATAAAGGAGAGAAAGTAGAAGGATTTACATGCAAGTCATTAGCTTAGTTGTAGATGGAAGGAGACAGAATTGAGGGAATTTCTCTTCTGTATACTCTGTCCCCTTCTTTCTCCTCTCCTCCCCTCCGCACCTTTTCCTCTCCTTACTCTCTCTTCTCCTTTTCTCTGTTCTCCTTTTCTCATCTTCTTTTCAAATGAGATAGGATAATCATAGGTTGATGGTAAAGAACTACTAGAGAAGTTGAAAATACAGAAGGAGAGGATAATTGGTATTACAAGATACTAGTATATGGGAATAAGAGAATACAACTGGAGGGATAAGCTTTAATAGGTGAAATCATGCCATTTCCTTTAAGAGGAAATGTATGGAAATAGATAAGTAAAGGTATATAAAGGAGAGGGGTTAGGATTGGGTATTTGAAGGAGGTTGGTGGCCTTGTTGTGCTGATGTATGAGAGAGTTTGGGTAAGGGATCTGAACGGGGTGAGGGTTTGTGGTACTTGACCAAGGATAAGTAAAGGAATTGCTGAGTAGTTTGAGATCCTGAGAGTGGATTTAATGAACTTTTAATATCCAGTTTGTCTGCATTTTCTTCACCTGATTTTCCCTGTACAAACAAATTGAATAAAACTGTGATATTGATTTAAGATTGGAGGTTTGCGGAAACTGTGAGGTTGAAGGGTAAAGGGAGGATGGGAACTGAGAGTGCTAGTGAGAAGGCAATGAAGCGATTGGTGGTCCACAGGCACGAAGAGTAAGTGTGGTCAGGAATAAACTGCTAGATAAGGTCAAAGAGTAGGTGAGGCATAGGAAGTTATTGCCAGAGATTGATGTTTATGGTTTCAGAGAGGGAGCAAGTGTGAGTGATGACAGGGTCCAGGTTATGGCATTAGAGTGGATTATGGAAGTGGGATGAAGGCAGTTGTATTTGTTTAGGTGAAAAATAGTTGAAGAATGTACATTATATGAATTGTGCTTTGAAATTGTTCAGAATAATGGCCAGTTTTGTGTTGTTGAGGTAGAGGGATCTCAGAGCTTAAGTCCTTATTGAATATGTTGAGGATGAAATGGATTCAATAAGCAACAGTAGAGGCTAACATAGCTGGATAGCATACCTCTCAAAGAGAAAGGGTTTTTTGCAAAGGTGGATGAGTTATACCCTAGAAACAGCAATGGGGGAGCCAGGAGAATAATGACTTCTCCCCTCCCTCTGAATGTTGGAGAAAGGGCCATATTCATTTGATGGAATATTGTAGAGCAAGTAGTATTTTTGCAGGACAAACTAGACATTATACTCTATGGCCAGGAGGTACAAGATTATAGATTTTGTTTTATACAGTGAAAACATGAGGGCTTCAGAGAACCCAGTGGAATTGACTGGGAAGGCAGAAAGCGAGATGATAGATTGGGGGTTGTAAATGCAGTGGGATGGAGATGAGGATGGGTGAGATGATAGATGACACAGGGAGTCAGCATTTTGTGCAGGGTTTGAGGATTCTAGGGCTAGGAGAAGCTTCATTGGAATAGATTGGCTTTAGCATTACCAATTTTGCAACACTGATTTGGTGCCAGGTAAGGCTTGTAGGGTTTGACTTAGGTTATTGAGAGACTAGTTTCAAGACTCACTGTGATGGGGCTCCTGTGTAACACAGACTATGAGATCTAAACAACAATATTTGCTTAATTTTGAATTGGAGAAAAAGTATTGTAAATAGTAAAATTACTGAAATGTAATGCATTTAGAAGTGACTAAAAAAAGAAAAATACAGCCTGACGTTTTTAAACTAGTAAAAAAAAAAGGTGATTTTTGACTTGTGTGTAATAATGGGTCCACTGGGTGGCACTGTGGCTTTATATTTTGCTACACAAATAACTAGCAGTAAGAGCTTTGCATTTGTGGAGTTAGTGTTATGCATGTCTTCTCCCTGCTTATTTTTCTTTTTTTTCAGTGAATTTTGCTCATCCTTTTTTCTGTTTATTTTTAGGTACAGTTATTTGTCACCCCTGCAAATAAAGCAAATACCTATCCCTAAATTGGCTGCTCCAAACTGTCTTCTTGTTACTTGGGTGACCAATAGACAGAAACACCTACGTTTTATAAAGGAAGAACTTTATCCCTCTTGGTCTGTGGAGGTAGTTGCTGAGTGGCACTGGGTAAAAGTAAGTTCAGAAGTTAGCTTGTTTGTTAATACAGCTTGATAGAAGTCACGTAAAGGTAGCATCTACTTTGTAATGCTCAACATGTCACTGCTCTACTCCTTCAACATGGGCTAAATCAGACTTTTGCTTTGCTGCTTAGCACTTTTATATTTTTATTCTCAAGGCTATTTTTTTTTTGTTTGTCTTTTTGTAATGGGGCCTCAAACTGCTGGCTTTGGGAAATCAGTCAGGAAGATATCAGGATGAAAATTTTAAAAGCTCTGATTATGTCTTGTTTAAAAAACAGCAAAAACTTAGGGAGGTTATATATCACCAAACACAGAAATAGTCTTACCCTTCCTCTTCTTCCCCTTTATATACTCACAATTTCAACCACCCTTTGTGATTTCTTTTTCTTATTTCGTGGGGGATGAGGGCAAGGAATAGCAAAGTAACCCATTGTAGAGGGGATGGGAAGATGCCAGAACCAAGAACCTTTTATGCTCTAAATCTTGTTAACTTATGTCCTCAGTGCCTTTTGTGCTGCTGTGCATAGTTTTGAAAGAAATGATTCAAACTCTAGAATTAGTTGAATGATCTTTAATATCTCTGCATGCTACAAGATTACCAAAAAAATACAGAAAAATAAGGCATCAATTTAGAGTTCATCAGGCTTCCTTTTAAAGATACATTGACTATTTAGATGATCTATAAAAGCCTTCCTAAATTTTGAAAAGATAAGCCAAGCTATTATTTTAGTGTTTGATATTTATATTGCAAGCATATTCATTTTTAACACAGTGGAGTTGTACTTTTTATGGCTTTGTGTATACTTTTTCATCTACTGGAATATCTTCTAAAAGCTGTGTACAGTAGTTCCTCCTTATCCTTGGGGGATACATTCCAGGACCCCAATGGATGCCTGAAACCATAGATGGTACTGAACCCCATATATGATTTTTTTTCTATAATACATACCTATGAGAAAGTTTATTTATAAATAGAGAGATAAACAATAATAACTAATAATAAAATAGAGTATTATAGCAATATACTGTACATGTTATATAAATGTGGTCTCTCTCTGTCTCAAAATAAATATCTTACTGTACTGTATTTACCTATCTCTGGGCTACAGTTGACCATGAGTACCTGAAACCCTGGAAAGTGAAACTGTGGATAAGCAGGGACAAGTATATATTGTTTATTTATACCTATGTTATGGGACTTGACAAAGACTTACAGTTGTATCTTTGTTTTCATGCTGTACTTTGGTCTTAGTGTTGGTTAATTTGGTATAGGACCATGATAGGAGTATACTACCCCATTCCATCTTGCCTATTATGATAGTTCTTTTATAGTCAGAAACTGGGACCACAGTCAGGAGGAGGTCATCTTTTGAAATCAAACCCAGTAAAATGTTAATACATAAAAATAAGATTATTAATCTGTAGTAGTAATCAGTTCTAAGAGATGGTATAATTCAAAACATAAATATCATCTATTATGTTATATGAAGCATTTATTAGGTAATTATACATATTGTTATGATAGGAGGAGTAATGTGCATTGAATATAAAGGCTACCCAACGTGCCAGTATTTATACAGCACTTTTTGTAGGAGATGCTGTGTCTGATTGGCCCTAGAGGAGATAAAAGACTTTTGATTACTGATTTGGTTGTTTAGGTACATTGATATAGGATAAAGGGTTTCACAGATAGCAGTGTTCTGACAGTGAAAATATATATTCCCATGGTAAATTAATGAATTGATATTTTAAATTATTTTTGAGTTTGATTAGCTTAAATGAATCTTTGAGAGTATGATCATCCCAGGGTGAAATGATGAAATTGAATTTCTGAATTTATAATGCCCAGGGCCAGTCTCTGGACTAGGTATTGTCTATCAGCCACCCAGTTTCTATCCTTACTAATTTTGGCTTTGACAATGTTTAATGATACTATTTCCTATAACTAAAGGGAGCTGTGTATTATGATCTACTTAGTCATATTGCTAATTCATTTATTAGTTCATTCATTAGTAATTCATTTATTAGTTCATTTGCATGAACTAATAAATTACTGATGTCGTGGTTTCTAGGAATCAATTTTAGTTAAGAGTAGAGATTGTTTTACGTGCAAGATGATAATGAAGTTATATTTGAAATATTTATATGATATTTTAAAAAATCTCTTATAGAAGCAATGTCTAATATGATAGCCACTAACACGTGTGACACTTCAGCACTTGAAATGTGGCTAATCCAAACTGAAATGTACTGTTAAGTATAAACTATACTTTGGATTTCAGGCATAGTACAAAAGAAAGAATGTAACATATCTCAATAAGTTTTCTGAATTGATTACATATTGAAATGATAGTATTTCAGGTATGTTAGATTGAATTAAATATGTAATTAAAATTGATTTCATTGCATTTTTTTTACTTCTTTAGGTGTTCCTGTTAGAAAATTTAAAATGATAAATGTGGCTCACATAATATTTGTACTGAACAGCACTAGCCTGGAGGTTTAATTTCTTTGGTGTGTGTGTGGAAGCTCTATAGTGATGGGAAAAAATAACCCTCTTTTGTTGGCTCCTTCCTATCAGATCACCAATTCAGGAGAGTTCGTGTTCCCATTAGATTCTCCACACAAAAAGCCTTATGAAGGTCTTATACTGGGGAGAGTTCAAGAAAAAACTGCTCTACCATTGAGGTAGGAAAGGCGATTTTTCAAAATTGTATACATGTATTAATTTTTACGCTTTAAATGATTATCTTAGTAATCATTGACTTTTTGAAATTTTTATGTTTTTGAAAATCTGAAAATGGCCCAGTGTAGAAAAGAATGGGTGGTATGGCACAGGAAACTTTATATTTTATCTAGTGTGTACTTGTCATTATTATGGAAAATGAAATGATAGGAATGTCTCAATACTTAAATTGTTAATTTCTTTCATTGATTGTAAAATTTGTTTTAAAATCAGATACAGAAAGAGAACAAAAATCAATGCAGCTGTGACTTCTATATAAAAAATTGTTTTAAAAAATATAGTTTACTTTCTTGTTCTGTTTAATTAGGAATGCAGATGTAAACGTGCTCCCCATTCCAGACCACAAATTAATTGTCAGCGTGCCCTGTACTCTTCACTCACATAAGCCACCGCTTGCTGGTATGTTTTTATAAAATAGAATTGTTACCACTTTTGTCAAATTTGAAAAAAAGAATACATTTAGTATTTAAATGGCCTACAGATTCGGAAATTAAGTCAGATGTGGGTTAATGAATATTCTAAAACTATTTCTCTATCTCTATAAAATAGAGAATAGATTAGTTTTGTGTTACTCAGCTTTTCCAGTTATACCATTTTTCAGATTCCCCTTGCTATCAGTTGCTTCCCATCACTGGGCTGACACAATGAATGCTGATGGGCATCTGAGAATGTAGTTCAGATAGACCCTTTATTTTACTACCGGGGCTCTATCTCTTGCTTGTCCTAAAACCAGGAACTCAGAATAGTAGTCAGAGAGATAGAAGTCCCTTGATATTTGGTTAGTGGCTCTCACTTTTACGTTTTTTTTAAAAGGTAGTGTTGCTTTTCTGGAACATTGACAGTAATTGCTGCAGCCTGCAAATTCTCACTAGTCTTAATACTTTAGTATAATGTTTATCATTCAATGAAACTAAGCAGCAGGGAATAATGGGGAATTTGGCTTTAGAAATGGACTAACATGAGTTTGAATCCTGGCTCTGCGAGTTGGGCAAGTCACTCAGATATTTTTCTATATCAAAGTCCTCATTTAAAGAGGGAACAGTGATATTTAGTCTTCTAGAGTTGTGAGAATTAGTTATATTGAAAGTTCTGTAGCATGTGGTAGAAGCTCAATGAATGCTAAATTTTTCAAGTCGGAGTTTAAAAACATCAAAATGTAAAGTCCTTGAGAGATACTGAATTTAATATTCAAAGTTTATGTGAACAGATACTTCTCAAAAGAAGACATTTATGCAGCCAACAGACACATGAAAAAATGCTCATCATCACTAAGAAATGCAAATCAAAACCACAATGAGATACCATCTCACATCAGTTAGAATGGCGATCGTTAAAAAGTCAGGAAGCAACAGGTGCTGGAGAGGATGTGGAGACACAGGAACACTTTCAAACTGTTGGTGGGACTCTAAACTAGTTCAACCATTGTGGAAGACAGTGTGGTGATTCCTCAAGGATCTAGAACTAGAAATACCATTTGACCCAGGCATCCCATTACTGGGTATATACCCAAAGGATTATAAATCATGCTGTTATAAAGACACATGCACACATTTGTTTATTGCAGCACTATTCACAATAGCAAAGACTTGGAACCAACCCAAATGTCCATCAATGACAGACTGGATTAAGAAAATGTGTCACATATATACCATGGGATACTATGCAGCCATAAAAAAGGATGAGTTCATGTCCTTTGTAGGGACATGGATGAAGCTGGAAACCATTATTCTCAGCAAACTATCACAAGGACAGGAAACCAAACACCACATCTTCTCACTCATAGGTGGGAATTGAACAGTGAGAACACTCGGACACAGGAAGGGGAACATCACACACCGGTGCCTGTTGTGGGGTCGGGGGAGGGAGGAGGGATAGCATTAGGAGATATACCTAATGTAAATGATGAGTTAATGGGTGCAGCACACCAACATGGCACAAGTATACATATGTAACAAACCTGCACATTGTGCACATGTACCCTAGAACTTAAAGTATAATAAAAAAAAAAATAAAAATAAAAAAAAGAAACAAACAAACAAAAAAAAAACACAAAGAATTTCTTCAGGAATACATATTTTGTTAGTTTGGTAATTTCTACCACCAACAACAACTACAAAACTCCTATAAGTTGCCACTCAGGAAAGCTACAGGGAGCTTATGTTACCTTGCAGAATATGAGGCAGTTCATGAACTGGGATGTGTAGAAAGTGAACACAAATTCCCAGAGAATTTTTGTTGCTAGCACTTAGGATTTCTGTTATCTTAAATGGCTTATGCAGTAGGGTCGTCTTTTAATGTTTTTTTTTTTTGAGACAGAGTCTCACTCTGTCACAAACAGTGGCCTGATCTTGGGTCACTGCAGCCTCTGCCTCCTGGGTTCAAGTGATTCTCCTGCCTCAGCCTCCTGAGTGGCTGGGCCTGCAGACATGTGCCACTATGCCTGGCTGATTTTTGTATTTTTAGTAGAGACGAGGTTTCGCCATGTTCACCACGCTGGTCTCGAACTCCTGACCTCAAGTGATTCACCTGCCTCAGCCTCCCAAAGTGCTGGGATTACAGGCATGAGCCACTGCGCCCAGCCTCTAGAAGGGTGTTTATAGTATTACTTCATTTGAGACATATACAGATGTCTACCTGATAATCTGTTCTTTGACTAAGAAGGATCCTCAGTGAATAATCGATTGCCTAACATTTTGGACTGTCATAGACTTTTAATGCTTTAATATATAACTCAAATGGAAAGTGAGATTACATTGTTCCTTGTGAAAAAAAATTACACTTGGCACTAGTAATACCTGATTATATATGTATATGTATTCCTCTCATTTGAATTTTATTTATCATTTGGTAACAAAGCTTAAGTTAGTGTTTATCTCAAGCCTTATTTTTTTCTTTTAAAAATTCAAAAGCTAAGACCGTAAACTTCTCATTCTGAAATGATAGTAAACTATGTATCAATTCCTTTAAAATAAAATAAAGTTATATTTAAAGATGAGCCTCAGGAGACAGGTTTTAAAATAGTGAATAAAAATGAGTCTTGCCCTAAAAGCATTACAGCTTGTATCTTTGAGATGCAGTTCTTCCTCATTCCCTGTAGAGAGCAGCACAAACACATTTTTAGGATTGAAAACATTTAAAAACAGAAGTTAGATTCTGGAGGAAACATCTGAATAACTCCATATATATAAAATCTTATGTTTTGGTTAAGTAGTGATACGAAATATTGTAATATTTTATTTTTGAGTTCATGTTACTGTATGTATATTTAGTATAGTTCACCTTTCTATATATTTCAGAAAGCATCTCTCAGATTTCTGCAGTATATTTTACCCTGAAATCATAACTCTAGGAGTTTGGGATGTTATATATTCTGTATATAATGCTTACAACTTTTACATTTAAATGTTCTTAAACTGTTTTATGCAAATTCATAAAATGAAATGTTTTCTCTTTGGTATCTAGAAACACCCCGATTTTTTTTTCTAAAGTTTAATTGGTTATTTCTGCTGCAAAATGTAGGAGACCACATTGGTAGCATATGGCATTTCAAAATGATACATTTGCATAAGTTTTGAAATTTTGTCCGATAGATTGAAAGATAAGCTATCAATAGCTATGGTTTACAACCTAACATTATAAAGTGATATTGTTTGAAGATTTAAGGTAGGAAAATCATGAAATGAAGTATTTAAATCAAAATTTTAGCTTTCATGTTTTACCTTAGAGGAATTTCCATTTCTTTTTACTGCTTTACACACTAACAGTTTCCATCTGAAGAGTGAAGTTTAGTTGACGGGATTATATGCACTGATGTTTGGGCCACTTCTCTCTTACTCCTGCCCCATGCTTTCAGAACAAAAAGGAAATGACTAGCTGTGCACGGATTGCATCCCCTCCATTGGTTAAAGTGTGTTTTACTAACTCCAGATGTTATGTAATTGTCGAAGTTTATGTGTCATACTCATGTTTAAATTTATACATTCACATTTATTTTTAAATTAATATTTAAAAACCGGAATAATACATTTTCATTAATTTGCCTTTATTTCTTCTACCTTATTTTGAAATAAAATAATTGTAGTTAACATTATAAAAACACAATATTCTGGTTTAACTAGAAAGGAGAAGAACCATGCAAAAATTTATTACATTGAGAAAATAGGATGGTAGTAAATGGGTTTAGGTTGTATATATTTTTCTACTCCATCCAAGTACCTGACCATCATTTTCTATTAGATTGTAAATGCTCATAAAACATGGATATTCTGCTTCTTTTGTTAAGTTTTTTTTTTGAGATGGAGTCTCGCTCTGTCGCCCAGGCTGGAGTACAGTGGCCGGATCTCAGCTTACTGCAAGCTCCGCCTCCTGGGTTCACGCCATTCCCCTGCCTCAGCCTCCCAAGTAGCTGGGACTACAGGCGCCCGCCACCTTGCCCGGCTAGTTTTTTGTATTTTTTAGTAGAGACGGGGTTTCACCATGTTAGCCAGGATGGTCTCGATCTCCTGACCTCGTGATCCGCCCGTCTCGGCCTCCCAAAGTGCTGGGATTACAGGCTTGAGCCACCACGCCCGGCCTTCTTTTGTTAAGTTTTATAAAACTGATTATAGTGGGTGCTCAAAAAAGGAAACATTTTTGACTGGCTGACTCCAGTTTACATTTTTAAAATAGTGTTGCTAACCTCTTCGTACCAAAAATCTGAACAAATGAAACAAAAACAAACAAAACCTTTCTTCATTGTAACCTTAGAGCACATTAAAAGGGAATTGAGGCTGGTAAGGCATTAAATTCATGGGAAGAAAATGGAAAAGTGATGTAGGGTTATTGTCCTCTAAGACTCTAGGGAAATCTTTCTCTTTCAAGGTTAGTAGCATTTAATTTATGTACTTATGAAAGGGTTAGAAGCCTTCATGCCAGCATCTCCTAGAACCCATGAAAGCCCAAATTTGAGTTCACTTGAATTATAGACAGTGAACCTTTTACTACTTCTTTGATTTTTGCTAAACAGGACCAGTACTTTCTGACAGATGAACAAGTGTTTTGCTGTGGGGAGCAACTAAAGAACATGATGAAACCTAAAATAATATATTCTCTTTTAAACCTTACCTATCTTTAGTATTCCTAAAGAACCCTTACCATTCCTAAAGGAAATTTGATAGATATCTTCCAAGCTCAATCTTACGTAGCAATTATGAACCATATTTTACCTTTTCTAGTGATTTTTCTTATCTGAATTTTATACCAAATTCGTATTAGGTGGTTAGCATAGCTAACCAGCAGCATGATCAAGATTACATTGATTTAAGTATTTGTCATCCAATTGAGTGAACATGTGCTTTTCAAAAGTTTCTGTGTCCTTCTTTTCTCTCTTTAGTGTAGACAACAGCTCCTTAGCCTACAGCTCTTTCCCCAAGAAAATACAATGTTCAGTAGTTATTAATACATTGAATAATACAAGGAATACTTAACTGTGGAAATACCATGATGAAATTTTAGGTAAAGAAGGATCTATAATTTGAAAATGAAGAAATGTTCTTAGTGCTACCAACTTATTGCTGAGGGGGCTAGTTATTTAAATGTTAGTTATTTGTTCTCAGTATTTCTGTTTATATCCAGCTCTTCATTTATTATTATTTTATTGAAATTTATGTTGCAGAGAGAGTTTTATTTTATCTTATTTTTAAAAAATGGGTTGTTTTTGAATTTTTGTAGAGCTCTTTTTCATGTATGGATTATATTTATTAAAAATAAATTGGCTGGGTGCAGTGGCTCCCGCCTGTAATCCTAGCACTTTAGGAGGCCGAGGTGAGTGGATTGCCTGAGCTCAGGAGTTCGAGACCAGCCTGGGGAACACGGTGAAACCCCATCTCTACTAAAATACAAAAAATTAGCCAAGAGTGGCGACGTGTGCCTGTAATCTCAGCTACTTGGGAGGCTGAGATAGGAGAATTGCTTGAACTGGGGAGGTGGAGGTTGCAGTGAGCTGAGATTGCACCATTGCACTCCAGCCTGGGTGACAGTGTGAGACTCTGTCTCAGAAAAATAAAAATTAAATAAATAAATAAAGTTAGTACTCAGGAGATATATCAGCAGTATTGGAAAACTGAAAAGTCACCTATGTAGGTGTTAAGGTCCTCATTTCTCATTGACAAATGAAAACCAGTAAATTAGGACTATGGAAGTTCCGATGATATTTTTCCCATTCTCAAGGGTACTTATTTTAAATGGCTAACTATAAATAGTAAAGCCTGTGATGAAATCCTTGAAATTAATTTGCTGTCTTTTAAGAACAAAATGAAACATTTCTCCCTTTCTACTCTTAACTGCTAAAAGGAAATGGATTCCTTCCTCAATAATAATTTTTGTGTTTTTTCTCTTTTTTAAACAGAGGTTTTAAAAGACTACATCAAGCCAGATGGGGAATATTTGGAATTGTTTGCTCGAAATTTACAGCCAGGTTGGACTAGTTGGGGCAATGAAGTTCTCAAATTTCAGCATGTGGATTATTTTATTGCTCTGGAGTCTGGAAGCTGACTATGATCTTGATTAAAGTAGTGGTTTCTTCATTGTTTCCTCACCACTTTTCCCTTCATTCTAACTCACTTTTAAAATTTTGTTACTAACCCATATTCTTAGAATATTAACAGGACTTGTTTTTTTCAGTAAGTGACCAGAAGTGACTAGCCTTCATGCAATTTTGAGATGAATTTTACTTGAGATGCACTAACATTCTATGTTATTCTAGACTATACAAATTAAGTGGTAAGCAGCTACAAAGATGGCAAGACCATGCTATTGAAAAAGTTCAGAAAACATACACCGTGGACCAGAGGTCATAATCCTATCTATGAATGTGTTTTGTGTGGCCCATGTAGTGTTGTAAAAAACATTTAGAACCATTATTCTAAAAAATGGGGATATTTCACATTAAAGTTCAGATTTCTGCTTCTTTTTTAAACATCAGAGACTCTGGCTACACCGAGGCCTCTCTTCTTTCCTGGCATCAGTCTGCAGGACCTAGTGGTGGTGGCTCACTTGGAAGGAGCCTTGTGCTCTCCACTTTGCCACAGTACCACTGCCGCCGTACTGCTCACTTATGTCATCCACTTGGCCCTTGTATGACCTGAATTTGCAACCTCGGTATACTATTACGTCCTGGAAAAAATATTCAAAGACCTGCCAAGTACTGCATTAGTATTCTGAGTTTATACAGCATTTTTGTAGGGTTTTCAGTTGTATTCAAGGTCACTTTCTAAGCGCTTCTTGGTTTTGCTTTTCTAGAAGAAAATGAAAAGCTATTCCTTATAATAAACATGGCGGCAAGTAAACATTGTGATTGTGAAAAAAATATTATTTATAGATTTTCTACAAATTAATATTTGTCTACCAAGTAAAATATTTTGACTGAAATTATTCTTTGAAATGCATATTGATTCATGCGTATTTTAAAAAATTGAGGTATAATTTTCACAAAATTCTCCAATTTTCAGCGTCGAATTCAGTGAATTTTGAAAACAATATATATAATTGTGTGTCTGCCACAGTGATCGTAATACAGAACACTTTCTTCACCCTGAAAACGTCTCATTTTTTTCTTTTGCAGTCAATCCCCTGCTCCTATCCTTGACCCCAGCAAACAGTGGTTTGCTTTCTATCATTAGTTCTGCTGTTTGAGAATTTCATATAAATGGAATCATCCTGCAATGTGTCATCTATTGTGCCTGACTTCTTTCACTTAGCATTTTGAGAAAAGCATTTATACTATTTACAGATTGTCGACAAATATTTATCCACAAGTAAAATGTTAGACTGAAATGATTCTTTGACAAGCTTGCCAATTTTACTGATTTTGTCAAAGAAAAATATGTTTTTTTTGAAGTTTGTTCATCCTTTGAGCGTGTGAGTGTAGTATCAGAGGCTTAATTTTGTGTTTATGGAGCTATTCTAACTTGTTATTTAGAAGGAAAAAGGTATTAAACGTGAAGCAAACTTCTCACGATCTCATTTGAATTCTTTCCAGCTTCTTTTAGTATTTATAGATTTTATATACTTTGTGGGAACATTTTATCCTCACCAAGTTTTTGGACTTTCATTTTTGTGTCATAAATACTGGTACTGAAAGGAAAAAGAGAGAGTCTTAATTCAATAGTCTGTTATTCACGTTGCAAGAGCTATAGTTTTAGCTCTGCTCCAAAGCTGTAAAACCTTTGGACCTTGTTTTAACACCAGTTTAATTATTGGACTCCTTTTTAAACAAAGGATGAGTCTGCAAATTTTAACAATAACACACCTTGTGAGAACAAAAATGAAGGAGTATGAACATCAAACTTTGACTTCATTACTACAGTTGGTTTAGCCAGCTGACCTGTTGGACTTACATATTTTAGAGCATTTTCATTCAGAGCTTCCTATATTATTTTTATAACTTGTAAGAATTTTGTGGGTTTTTTTTTCTATCACATTCTTTTCATAGGCTTAAAGTCTTTTAGGACTCTCGGTAATAATGCTTAGGCAAAGCGGTGCAGCTAACATTTGTTGAGTAGTATATGTTACTCTGTGCTATGCTTTTTACTTACTGCATTTAATCCTTGCATAACCCTGAGAGATAGATACAACCTTCATTTAATAGTTGAGAAAGCTGAAGCCCAGGGGACTATTTTGTCTGTAAACACACAACAAGTTTCGAAACTAGGATGCAGTTTCCTGACTCCATAGCCCATGCTGTATTTTATGTAAAAACATGGAAAACAGAGCAAATGACTAAGGATCTCTCAAGTGATAGGATTACACTCTAGCTTTCCCCATCGAGCTCTTTTGCCTTTACGTGCTTAACTGCTAATGCCACTCAAGAAACTGGGGGAATTGTGCCTCATAACGTCATATCCTTGGAATTCTTGGCCTTTCTCTGACACTCTTTCACCCTTCTACATGAGATCCAGTAGAGTAAAATCACAACACAAAACACACAAAAGCACAACTACTCTTGGAAACAGATTCTCTTTAAAAAACTTGATCCTTTTTATCATTTGTCCTCCTTTCTTCCTCAGCCTTTATTTGTGTCCTCTAGTCAAAGTATGACCCAGTTTTTCTTTTCTCTTGGCCGCTGTAGACACAGGGTCTTTTTTGTACCTAAATCAGTAAGTTCAGTGTGGCACAGTCAGTGTAATCTAAAGCCAACTTGTGTAGGTTTGAACCCAACTGACTTTTGACTTTGAGCAAGTTAATTAAATCTTTAGGCCTTGGTGTCCATTCATGCATATAGGCAATAATAATACTACCTCATAGAGTTATGAGGATTAAATGAGTTAATACATGCAAGGCACTTGTAATAGTGCTTGGAATATTTTAAGCACTCCAAAAATGTGACACTTTTTTTTTTAAATTTCAGGTCAAAAAGTTCTTATCACAGTCTGGACTGTCATTCAGGGAACACACTGGAAATTAAATGTTAATTCCATCCCTTTGCCCGAGCATATTAAACTGCCCATACAGTTTTTCTGTCTAAACATCCTTTTTTTCTTACTCTGTTTCTTGTTTGTAACCTGCACCTGATTTCATACATGAGGTAGCTGTGAAATCTCCTCTCCCATTGTGGTCCTGCCTGAGAAACAAATTAAAACAAGGGCCACATGTGGCTTTGGGCTTCGTGTTTTGATTGCCTCCTGCCATGCTGACTAAGCTGTGTGGCTACTCTACATTGCTCTTTGTTGAATTCCACAGGTGCTAAATAGGTCGCCTTTTAGCGACGATGTTTCTTCCATGTTCAGAGACTTTGGGCCCATGCCACATAAATTTGGTTCAAAATAGATGTGTTACGCTTTGCTGCAGGTGTTAGGAAGTTGATCTTTATGTGCCACCCAGGGAATTTTCCAGTTGATAAGGCACAGACCAAGTAAAGAAGGCCTATTTCTGCAGATGGCCTGAAAGGCACCAATGGGATAGGTTTCTTCTCTTGAATGCCAACCTTTGAGAGGCCAACATCACCATGGGCGAGTGGCCTTAAGCCTAGTCCATGACACTGGGGATATAGGTCTGGATCTAGATCTGGGTATAGCTTTAGTTCTGCCTTTGCTCTGTCCTTGCAGGAGGCTCTCTTTACCTTGTCCTGTTCTAGTCCTCTAAATACTATGATGCAAACTCATTCTCACAAGAGAATCATTGGCTCCCAAATCTTACCGTCTCAGACTTACTACCCAAGAGACACATATCTTTTGAGCATTTTTATGTATTCAGCTTCAGGCAGATGCTGGCTTTTCTCCTGATATGATTGAGAGGATTATAATCACTTCAGAGGACCTTCCCTTCCCTGAAGATGCTGTCCGATTTACCTCATTTGATTCATGTCTTGCACCATTGGCCTACCATACCTTGGTAAGCACCACAGCACTGTTGGCACTGTTCTGTGGTTATTAGAGTTCTTTTGCTTCAATTGTTTCACTTTATCTTCCAAACAATCTTACGAAGGTATAGGTATAATGAGGGAATAGGTTCGTAGAGGCTACTCATAAGGTTAATAACCAAGACTTGAATTCTATTCTGGTTCCTAAACTAAGGGACTTTTTGTTGCATCATGTTTGCTAATGAACTTCAGATTTTTTTTTTTTTTGAGACGGAGTCTCGCTCTGTCGCCCAGGCTGGACCTCAGCTCACTGCAAGCTCCGCCTCCCGGGTTTACGCCATTCTCCTGCCTCAGCCTCCCGAGTAGCTGGGACTACAGGCGCCCGCAATCTCGCCTGGCTAGTTTTTTTTTTTTTGTATTTTTTTGTAGAGACGGGGTTTCACCGTGTTAGCCAGGATGGTCTCGATCTCCTGACCTCGTGATCCGCCCGTCTTGGCCTCCCAAAGTGCTGGGATTACAGGCTTGAGCCACCGCGCCCGGCCTGAACTTCAGATCTTAATAGTAGGTCCATCAACTACTAATCAGAGGTTCATTGTATGGCCTGGGGCAAATGTAGAATGGTTCATATGTAATCACCCAAACATACCTTTCTCAATATACCACATCATCATTCTTGTGTTATTAACATAGTATTTTTTGTTAGAGATTTTAGTGACATTGGTTGAACTGACAGCCTCAGTCAACTCAGAATCACTCAGAATCTGACATAACCCTTTGACATAAGCCATAAGCATTTTAACCATGCCATTGTATTTTAACAGCTCAATCAGATGAGCCATTTTAAGCTCACATTTTAAGGAAGCTCTTCTGCAAAATATTCAACTGGATTTGAGGCTGTATGGGTAGTTAGAAAAGGGAATATGTAACGCAAGTACAAGTGCAGATAATTTATGGTGATCTGATACCAGTGTTTGGATATATGGGCCAACTCATAACTCCAGACGGGATCTTGATTAAACTCACAGCTCTATTGACCAGTCTGCACCAGGTTGAAAGTAAGTCAGAACTACCATGATAACTTCACAACCAACTTTTTCCCCCTAAATATTCCTAGGGGGTTAACCTAGACCTCCTGGGACTTCTGTGAACTTGACTGGGACCTCTTAGATTTTTCAGTATCCATCCAAGTCCCTGGAGCCATATACAAACACATTGATACCTAGTAGTGGAGAGCATCAGGGAAACTAATTTATTTTCTCAGATGAAATGTTGGCCTGGTTGTCAGGTAGCTGACAATGGGAAACTTTTGGACGATGGGTTAGGCAAACAGAGTGGTTGCAGTATTAAAACTGTTTTTAGTCAATATCATTAAAGAAAAACATGGTTCCCCACCTGCTTTTAAATTGCTTCTCCCAACACTGTCCACATGTACCCTGAATGTTAATCAGACTGGACTATATGCTGTTACCTGATTGAGGCCTCTGCTTTTGCTCATGGTACTTTCTCTGCCAGGAAAAAACTAGCTAGACTTTAAGATCAGCTAGATCTACATGTTGAGTCTTGATGTATTTAGCTTCTGAGTGACTTTCAGCAATTAAACTATATTATCTTGAACTTCCTTTTTCTAAGGAATAAGAAGGCTAATCTTTGGGCCTTATAGAATTATTTTGAGGATGAAATGAAATAACTGAACGTGATTAGCATAGGACCTAATAACCTAGCAGGTATTCCGTATTTGCTCATTTGAAAAAAAATTACAGTCTTCCTGGCAACACCTCTAATTTCATGACCCACTTAAAAAAAAACCCTTATTTTGGACTAGTTTTAGGCTTATGGAAAATATGCAAAAGTACCAAAGCGTTTCTAAATTATTTTTCACCTCTGTAACCTCTGTGAAACCTCCTATTTTATAGTCAGAGGTAATTATTATCGAAGTGAGCATTTTGCATGCTTCTTTTAGAACACGTAGAACAAATTTGTATCTATATCATTGATATCTATATCTATACCTCTCTCTTCATTTCCCTCTCCTCCCTCCTCTCCCCCCTTCTTCCCTCCCTCCCTCCCTTGCTCCATCCCTCCCTTCTTTCTTTTTTCCCTTTTTCCTCCCTTAATAAATTATTGGAGGTAGGACTAATTATTATTTTTTCTTTATTCCAACAAAGAGTAGCAGAATATGCACCCCAAAATGTGCCACTTTGGTGTGAGGATTATTTTGAACTAAAGGCAATTGAGAAGAAGTAGATATAAGAAAATCTCTCTGTCCCCCCACCACCCATTTGCCTAAAAGCAAGACAAAAATTGACAAGGGTGTCCCTTCCCTCTCTACAAGGAAGGACAAATGTGAATCACCAGACTGTAGACCCTTAGCCCAGAGACAGCACAGAGGAATCTCTATGATAAACTTTACTAACTAGCTGGTTATTTTTATAATTTTCTTTTTTTAAATTGACAGATAACATTGTACATTTTTATCCTTTTGCCATAAAAATGATAACTATATGAGGTACTGCATTTTTTAAAATTAGCTAGATTTAACCATTCTGCCTTTACCATTAGTTTCCCATTTATTTGCCTTTCAAGTTTCCTGCCTTGTGAGTCTCAAGGTCCTTTTCCTTTGTCTTTTCACTTGTCTAAAAATGTATTATTCTTTGTTGAAGATGCTGATATGGTTTGGCTCTGTGTCCTCATCCAAATCTCACCTTGAATTGTAAACCCCATAATCCCCATAGGTCAAGGGTGGGACCAGGTGGAGGTAATTGAATCATGAGGGTGGTATCTCCCGTGCTGTTCTCATGATAATGAGCGAGTCTCATGCGATCTGATGGTTTTATAAGCCTGGCATTTCCCCTGCTTGTACTCATTCTCTCTCCTGCTGCCCTGTGAAGAGGTGCTGTCCACCATGATTGTACTGAGGCCTCCCCAGCCATGTGGAACTATGAGTCAATTAAACCTCTTTTCTTTATAAATTTCCCAGTCTCAGGTATTTCTTCCTAGCAGTGTGAGAATGGGCTAATACAGATGCTGTATAAGCCAGGGTTCTAAGCCACCTCTTTGAGGATTACTAATTCCCTGGGTATCTCCCATGTATATGATATATACATGTTAATAAGCTTCTGTTTGTTTTTTGTCTTTCGTTACGGGGTCCCAGCCAAGAACTTAGAAAGTTTGAGGGAAAATTACATTTTCCTGCCCTACACCAACATACCTGGAACTGCCAATATTTAATCAATGAATGAACTGATTCTTGGCCTTCAAGTATCTTAGAATTTAATTGAATATACAAGGTTCCTGTAAGAAACAAGTAACAAGCCATGGAATACAGTCAAACACTAAGAGTTGTGAAACAGAGAGAAGCAGATCACTTAGAGATTGTTAAGCAGTATGAGAAAAGGAGAGTGGGAACTGTGTCCTGATTAAATTTTCGTTTATTTCCTAACTGTAGGTAGTAGCCATATTGTTGTTACTAGACAGTAGGCAGCTAAAATATGCTGGTTCAGAAAAGTTACAAAGGAAGAATTTTGTTCTGTAAAAAATTTGTTTCCTGGCTGGGCATGGTGGCTCACGCCTGTAATCCCAGCACTTTGGGAGGCCGAGGTGGGTGGATCACCTGAGGTCAGGAGTTCGAGACCAGCCCGGCCAACACTGTCTCTACTAAAAAAAATACAAAAATTAGCTGGGCATGGTGGTGCGTGCCTGTAATCCCAGCTACTAGGGGGGCTGAGGCAGGAGGATTGCTTGAATCTGGGAGGCGGAGGTTGCAGCGAGCAGAGACTGTGCCACTGCACTCCAGTCTGGGTAACAGAGCGAGACTCCAACTCAAAAAAAAAAATTGTTTGCTGGAAATTTAGAAGGTATTAATGCATACAGTTTATTTTGTCAATATAACAGAACTAGGGATGAAATTAAGTGAGGATTTTTTTTTTAACCTGCTTGTCTGCATTCTCCACTTTTTGAATGAAACTGATATTTGGGTTTCTTCTCTACAGTCATCTAGGAGGCTTATTTTTTATTATTTTTACAGAGGTATAATTGATATATAAGAAGTTGCACATATTTAAAATGTACAGTTCAATGAGTTTTTACTTAGGTGTATACCTTGTGAAACCACCATCACAAACAAAATAAACATCACCACTCAAAATTTTCTGATGATCTTTTATAATCCATCTCTCCCTAATTGCCCTTCCCCATCCCATCTCTAGGAAATTACTGATCTGCTTTCTGTACTAGAGTTTTGTGCATTTTCTAGGATTTTACATAGATGAAATTATATGGCATGCACTGTTTTTTGGGGCCTAACTTACAATTAGCATAATTATTTTGAGATCTTCTGTTTCATGTATCAGTAATTCATCCCTCTTTATTGCTGAGTACTATTCAATTGTATGGATGTGTCACATTTAATCTATTCATGTAGTACTCTTCTACTGCTGATATAACAAGTTACCACAATCATAATGGCTTAAAACAGCACCCATTAGTAGCTCACAGTTTTTAGGTCAGAAGTCCTGGGCAGTCTGGGCTGAGTTTTACTTCTTAGGATCTCACAAGGCCAAAGGTAAGGCATTGGGTGGGCTGGGCTCTTAAGTGGAGGCTCTGGGGAAGAATCTGTTTTCATGCTCATTCACATTGATAGCAGAATTCAGTTCTGTGTGGTCGCAGGACTGAGGTGCCCAGTTCCTTCTGGCTGTTGACTGGGAGTCACTCTCAGCTCCTAGAGGCTGCTCTCCAGTCCTTGCCCGTGGTGCTCTCCATCATCACAGCCTCAATAGCACTACTCGAGTCCTTATCCTTTGAATTTCTCTGACTTCCCCTTATGTAACAATCTAGAGAAAACTCTCTACTTTTAGAGTTTTGTGATTAGATTGGGCCCACCTGAATAATCGCTCTTTTCTAATATAATGTAACATAATCACAGGAGTGATATTTCATCATATTTACAGGTTCCAAACACATTTATCAGGGAGAGGATTATACAAACATGAAGGACACTGGGAGCCATTCTTAGAATTTTACCTACCACTGCCTC